AAACAATCTGAAATTATCAGATAGATTTAACAGATGCACTCAAATCATTTCATCCCAAAACAACAGAATAATATTCAAGTGCACATGGGATATTCTCCAGAATTGATCACATATTAGGCCATAAAACAAGCCTCAACAAATTCAAAAAGATCAAAGTAACAGCATGCATCTTTTCTGACTACAACCACAAGAAAATATGAAACTGTAAGTCAAACACAAGAAAATATCTGGAAAGACCACAAATAGATGGAGGTTAAATAACATGTTACTAAACATTGAATGCATCAACCAGGAAATAAAAGAAGAAATTAAAAAGTAAATGGAAACAGGGATGCTTGGGTGACTCAGTCAGATGGAAAACTGCCTTTGGCTCGGGTTGTGATTCTGGGTTCCCGGAATCAGGCCCAGTGTTGGGTTCCCTGCTCAGCAGGGAGCCTGCTTCTTACCCCCTGCTTGTGCACTCCACCACTCTCTCTCAAATAAATAAAAATCTTAAAAAAAAAAAAAAAAGTACATGGAAACAAATGAAAATGAATGGTTCAAGACCTTTGGGATGCGGCAAAAGCATTTCTAAGAGGGAAGTTTGGAGCAATACAGGCTTACCTCAAGAAGCAAGAAAAAATCTCAAACAACCTAACCTTACACCTAAAAAAGCTAGAAAAACAACAAACAAACCTAAAACCAGCAAAAGGAAGAAGACAATAAAGATTAGAGCAGAAATAAATGATACAGAAAGTAAAAAAATAAAACCAATAGAACAGATCAATGAAGACAGGAACTAGTTCACTGAGAAAAAAAATCAACAAAATTGATTAACCCCTAGCCAGACTTATCAAGAAAAAAAGAGAAAGCATTCAACTAAATAGAATCACCAAAGAACCAACATCACAGAAATAAAATTATAATATTATGAAAAGCTATACGCTGGGGTGCCTGGGTGGTGCAGTCATTAAGCATCTGCCTTCGGGTCAGGTCATGGTCCCAGGGTCCTGAGTCCTGAGTCCCACATTGGGCTCCCTGCTCAGCGGGAAGCCTGCTTCTTCCTCTCCAACACAACCCCCGCCCCTTTGTGTTCCCTCTCTTACTGTCTTTCTCTGTCAAATAAATAAATAAAGTCTTTTAAAAGAAAAGAAAAGCTACATGCCAACAAAATTGGACAACCTAGAACGAATGAATAAATTCCTAGAAATCTATAAACTACAAAAACTGAAACAGGAAGAAACAGAAAATTTGAACAGACTGATTACCAGCAAAAAATTGAATCAGTAATCAAAAAACTCACAATCAACAAAAGCCCAGGATAAGATGGCTTCATAGGCAAATTCTACCAAACATTTAAAGTATTAATACCCATTCTTCTCAAATATTCCAAAAAATAGAAAAAGAAAGAGTACTTCCAAATTCATTCTATGAGGCCAGCATTACCCTGATAGAAAAAAAAGACAAAAACACCACACACACAAAAAAAGAATTAAAGGCCAATGTCTCTGATGAATATAGATGCAAAAATCTTCAACAAAACATCAGCAAATCAAATCCAACAATGCATTAAAAAAATAATTTACCACCATCAAGTGGGATATACTCCTGGTTTGCAAGGGTGGTTCAATATTAGCAAATCAATCATTATGCTATATCATATTAATAAAAGAAAGCAAAGAACCATATGATCATTTTAATAGGTACAGAAAAAGCATCTGTCAAAGTACAATGTCCATTCATGATAGAAACCCTCGACAAAGTAGGTTAAGAGGGAACATACCTCAACATAATAAAGGCCATCTATGAAAAACCTATAGCTAACATCATCCTCAATGGGGAAAAACTGACAGCCTTTCACCTAAGGTCAAGACAAGACAAGGATATCCACTCTCACCACTTTTATTCAACACAGTACTAGAAGTCCTAGACACAACAATCAGACAACAAAAAGAAGTAAAAAGCATCCAATTCAGTAAGGAAGAAATAAAACTTTCACTATTTGCGGATGACATGACATTGTATATAGAAAACCTGAAAGACTCCACCAAAAAATTGCTAGAACTGATAAATGAATTCAGTAAACTCCCAGGGTACAAAATCAACATTCAGAAATCTGGCATTTCTTTTTTTCTTTTTTTGTGGCATCTCTATACACCGATAATGAAGCAGCAGAAAGAGAAATCAAAAAAACAATCCCATTTACAACTGCACCAAAAATAATAAGATATCTAGGAATAAATCTAACCAGAGAGATGAAAGACCTGTACTCTGAAAACTAAAACACTGACTAAATAAAGTCTTTTAAAAGAAGAAAGTGAAGATGACACAAAGAAATGGAAAAACATTCCATGCTTATGGATTGGAAGAATAAATATTGTTAAATTATCTATACTACCCAAAGCAATCTACATATTTAATGCAATCCCTACCAAAACACCAACAACATTTTTCACAGAGCTAGAATAAACAATCCTACAATTTGCACGGAACCACAAAAGACCCCAAATAGCCCAAGCAACCTTGAAAATGAAAAGCAAAACTGGAGATGTCTCAATTCTGGACTTCAAGTTATATTACTAAACTGTTGTGATCAAAACAGTACGGTACTGGCACAAAAACAGACAATAGATCAGTAGAACAGAAAAGAAAACCCAGAACTACATGGTCAATTAAACTTTGACAAAGCAGAAAAGACTATCCAATGGGATATCCAAATGGTGCTGGGAAAACTTGATAGCAGCATGCAAAAGAATAAAACTGGAGCACTTTCTTACACCATATGCAAAAATAAATTCAGAATGGATTAAGAACTTAAATGTGAGACCTGAAACAATAAAAATCCTAGAAAAAACACAGGCAGTAACTTCTTTGACATCGCCATTGTAACTTCTTTCTACATATGTCTCCTGAGGCAAGGTAAAGAAAAGCAAAAATAAACTATTGGGACTACCTCAAAATAAAAACTAAAAGACAATGGACAGAATGGGAGAAGATAATTGTAAATGACATATCTGATAAAGGGTCAGTATCCAAACCTATAAAGAACTTATACAACTCAATACCCAAAAAACAATCCAATTAAAAATGGGAAGAAGACGGGGAGCCTGGGTGGCTCAGTGGGTTAAAAGCCTCTGCCTTCAGCTCAGGTCACGGTCCCAGGGTCCTGGGATTGAGCCCTGCATCAGGCTCTCTGCTTGGTGGGGAGCCTGCTTCCTCCTCTCTCTCTCTGCCTGCCTCTCCGCCTACTTGTGATTTCTGTCTGTCAAATAAATAAATAAAATCTTTAAAAAAAAAAAAATGGGAAGAAGTGAATGAATAGGCACTTTATCAAAGAAGACCTCCAGATAGCCAACAGAAACATGAAAAGATGCCCAGTATCACTCATCATCAAGGAAACGCAAATCAAAACTACAATGATACATTACCTCACACCTGCCAGAATAGCTAACACCAAAAACGCAAGACACAAGTGTTGGCAAGAATGTAGAGAAAAAGGAAACCTCTTGCACTGCTGGTGGGAATGCAAACTGGTGCAGCCACTCTGGAAAACAGTATGGAGGTGCCTCAAAAACTTAAAAACAGAGCTACCCTCAGTGGGGTATCCTCAATGATCCAGCAACCACACTACTGGATATTTACCCAAAGAATACAAAATTCTAATTCAAAGGGACATATGCACCCCTATATTTACAGCATTATTTATAATAGCCAAGATATGGAATCAACCCAAATGTCCATCGACTGATGAATGGATAAAGATGTGGTGTGTGTACGTGTGTGTGTGTATATATTATAAATATATGTGTGTGTGTGTATAAATACATGCACATATTTATTGGATTTACTCAGCCATAAAAAGAATGCAATCTTGCCATTTACAATGACATGGATGGAGTTAAAGAGTATTAAGTTCAGTGAAATAAGTCAGAGAAAGACAAATTACCATATGATTTCACTCATACGTAGAATTTAAGAAACAAAACAAATAAGCAAAGAGAATAAGAGAGAGAGAGAGGGGCAAATCAATAAACAGACTCCTGACTATATAGAACACACTGAGGATTACCAGAGGGGAGGTGGTTGGGGGGATGGATGAAATACATGATGGGGGTTAAGGTGTGCACTTGCCTTAATGAACACCAGGTGATTAAAATAAAAACTTTTTAAAAACCCCAAAACTCAAGTATAAAATATTGAACTACAGTTCAAATATAAAATATTATGCTTATTTATTAATGACATTTAACTCCTCAGAGAGTATCACAATTTGCATAAAATACCAATTTGCTTATGTTTAGAATAAATGATCGCTTCACACCCTTAGGTAAAAAATTATATCAAAAGATCAAGTTGAAGTACACACAAAAAATATCTTCCCCAGTAACAAGGCCTTTATACACCTATAGATGTTCTTTCATGGAACTCATAATAACACAAAAACAAAGCTTTTCACCAAAAGGGAATGGTTAATTATTTAGTAGAATATTTTAAATATTTTTAAATGAAAACTACAAAGACTATGGAACAATAATTAAAACATTATTAATATAATATTAATGTTATTGTTATCACAGTATTAATGCTGTTAATATCAAGACAGTATATTAACATTAATTAAAAATTATGGGGTATCACATTTGAATAACCCTATGATTACTACTATATAAAATATTTATGCACGTAGATAGAGTAGAGACATTAAGGCTGACAATTAGCTCTTTTTTTTCACATTTTTGAATTATCACTTTAAATTTTTTTAAAACAAAAGTTTTCAGAGTGATTTTCCCTTATCTTTACCTTATTATTGAATAAAAACCTTAAAAGAACAGACCCATGAGGAAAAAAAAAAACCTTTATTTCACTGTCATCTTCTTTTAGATATATATGATTTACTACTAATAAAAAAATAAAAAACTCCTTAACCTCAAAACATTACCAACAGAATTAATATTTGTCCCCATAATTTTTAGAGTATTATGTATACTATATGGCTAAGAAGCAGAATTATAAAGACATACCTTTTCGTAAGGGTTGCGGCATCATTAAGATCTGGATGAGCAAAAGAGATGTAACATCATGATAAAGAACTGGAACCTCAAGCTGTTGTTCTTCATTTCCCTGCCTAAAAGAAAAATGCATAATCACTTTAGACAATATTGTATATCTTTTCTAATTCATTTTATATTTCCCACATATGTCTATGGAACAGAAATCAAACTTTCATAAACTAAGAAATCTCAAAAGAAAAAGTTAGGGGCCATTTTTTTTTACTTAAAAATATAATCTTTATATCCATATATTCCCTTGACTCTGCCTAATATGAAAAAATTACATAGAAAATTCATTAGATCTTACTTAAGTAAACAATTGGGATACATTAACTTGATATGAAATTTTTTTAATTTCTTAAATTACAGAAATTAAATGAAGGATTAATTGGAACTTTAGAAGATTAGTTTCACTATAAGTGGAGTGAATATAGGATACTTGCCATCACAAACCTTGCACTACAGAGTAAATGTTCACATTATTAAAAAAAGAACAGGTACAATTCAAAAACAAGTTATACAGAAAAGGAATGATTTATATATTTTGTTAACAAGTTGTTTCAATTTTATGACTATCATAAAAATTCAAAAAATCTTTAAAATTTTCAAAGTTTCCAAAAAAAGATGATAGCCAAAGCAGAACTTAAAACACACTATAAAAGACAAAGTAGTAAATTGTAGGAATGTGGAGTACTAAGAGAAACACAGAATATATTCCAAAGCAGATCTCATTCTAGATCTATAAGAATTTTTAAAACCCTGTAGAAGGAAACATTTTTTAATTATAGGTTTAATTTTTAATGTCAGGAAACAAAAACAAATCTTATGCTTCTAGAACTGACTAAATTTGAAACTATAATTCAGACTGGATTTACAATGAACAAAATCTGTTCAACTCTTTTTTTTTTTTTTTTAAAGATTTCACCTATTTATTTGACAGAGATCCCAAGTAGGCAGAGAGGCAGGCAGAGAGAGAGGAGGAAGCAGGCTCCCCGCTGAGCAGACAGCCCGACACGGGGCTCCATCCCAGGACCCTGGGATCATGACCTGAGCCGAAGGCAGAAGCTCCAACCCACTGAGCCACCCAGGCGCCCCTGTTCAACTCTTTTGTTAGGCTCCATCATTGAGCAAATACTGATCACTTCCTATATGTCAGGCACTAGACACACTGATGAGTAAACCAGTGCCTGCTGTTCTGAAGTTTTTAAGTGCCAGGGGAAGACAGCTCTTTAAATGTCTCCATTCTCTACACCAATATCCCTTAAATTAACTTGTCTCTCTCTCCAAAGCTAACTTTCCATTAATGCTATGAAACCTACTATTTGTCTCTACAGTCTCTCTTTTTTAGAAGCCCAAAGTTCTTTTTTTTTTTTTAAATGGGGGAGCGGCTAACATTCACTCATCTATTATTTAAATCCCCCCAAAAAGGGTTTTCCACATGGTCAACAGTGACCTCCTATTTACAAAATCTAGTGGATATTTTTCAATCATTATCTTATTGACCTTTAACTCTGCATACAGTTGAACATATTTGTCTGGAAAATTTTCTTGGTTTTTGTGAAACACTCTCTCAGGTTCCCTTCTAACTTTCTGATTACTCTACTTTCATTTTCTTGACAAGTTCTTCCTCTGACTAACCTAGAAATGGTGGTGCTTCCCAAGGCTCCAATTCCCACTCTCTTTTAACATAAAGCACTCATTTTGAAAGACTTCCTAACCCAATCACCAGCTATACATTGATGACTTCCAAGTCTGCATCTTTAGCTATGACTCTCTTACACTCTCTATCTGAATACTCACTATCTCCACTTGTATATCTAACAGGAAGCTCAACCTGAGCTTGCCTGAAACTGAACTCATGCTCTATTCTACACCCACAATCCCCACCCCCAGCCATAACCAATCAACTCTCTCTTCTGTGTTCTTAGTCTTGATGTGGTCATTTATTATACCCTCTAGCATTTAGCACAATGTCTGAATGCAATATGATATATACAACACTAAAAATATAATGAATAGATAAGGCAGGATCTTGGGGATATCCTGAACCTACCTTCTCTTATTCACCCCATATTTATCAGTAAGTCCTAACAACTATCTTTATTTTCTTTGTCATCTCTATAGCCGCTGCCTTCTCACTATTCAATCTCCACAATTTTATGTTCTGCCAATTCATTCTCTACACTATTAAGTGCCCTGGAAAAAAAAGAAAAAAAGGAACCTTTCATATCTTGTTTGCCATCATTTTCCTGATGCCTGATTAAAACAGTTTATTAAAACCAGCTGAATAAATTTAAAAATGAAAAATGAATGGATGGCTAGATGAAAAAACAGGTGGAAAGAGAGACAAAAACTAGTTAGCTAAGACTACAGAGCATCAAGAGAGAAATAAAATGCACTGAGGGAAGAAACATCAGAGAAAATCACAAACTTTAACAAAATTAGGGCCTATAATTCCTATATGTATTTGTATTTCTCTGGTTTTACCACAGTTCCTTTAGTGAAATGAACAAAATGCCTCCAAAGGAAATATGCAAAGAGGATAAAACCTGTTCCCAAATAGTAAGAGGAAAGTCCTTGCAGACCTATGGATGATAAAGAAAGTGGTAAGAAACATGTCCATTAAAAACTACTTAGAGGGGCACCGGGTGGCTCATTGGGTTAAGCCTCTGCCTTCAGCTCAGGTCATGATCCTACGGTCCTGGGATCGAGCCCCGCATCGGGCTCTCTGCTCAGCGGCGAACCTGCTTCCTCCTCTCTCTCTGCCTGCCTCTCTGCCTACTAGTGATCTCTGTCTGTCAAATAAATAAATAAAATCTTTAAAAAAGAAAACTACTTAGAATAAAAATGACTTTGGATTATCAAACTACTGTATTAAATCTAACAGCTGACAAAAGACTCATACTTAGAATTCAAACGAACTTTATGGATCCATTTAAGCTAACCCAATCTCACTTCTATGCAAAGATAAATTTTACTGGACAAAAGTCAGAGAGGTTTAAGAACTTCTTGCATCATGACCTAAAAGACTAACAAATTACAGAGATTTTAGGTATAGAAAATAAAAATATCCCCGAATGAGTAAATTAAATATAGTTTCTTAAAAATAGGGATATTATAAGCAACTGAAGAGTTTAAAGGGCTAACATAAGTCTATATTCTCATTTATTTTATTATGTGTCAATAATTTTTTTGTAATAGAAGCAATCCTTCTCAAATTTAGAGGTTAATTATTTTGCTATTATGTCTTGTTTGCTTATTATTATTATTGTACTGACCTTCAATTATTTAAAATCAGTCTAAATCTCCATATGCATGGACAACTATACTTCAGTTTATATCCTCTATTATAATTATTCATACACACTTGTTAAAAATTTAGCAATCTTTATATTAAATATAATTGAGAATGTATAATTAAGAAAAATTTCAAAACTACAATGATACAAAAAAGAATTTTAAAAATGGGGAATGATAACTATTGTCCCCAAAATTAATTTACGAATTTAAAATAATTCTAACCAAAATCTCAAGTGAAGGTAAGGGCTTAGAAAATGGTTCTAAAGATCATCTGGAAGAATGAGCAGATGAGAACAGTAAAGGAAAATTGGGAAGTAGGGGATGGGGTTGGAGGTGGAAGAAATGAGAGAAGCCTAATCTAACCAGAGACATACATATAACATGTCTTCCCAATAACTAAACCAGAATGGTTCTATCACAGACTATAGGCTTATAGGTCAATAAAACAAAGTGGAAAGTCCCTCATCAGAACCATAACATACAAAAATTTAGTATAAAAAAAATGGGATGTAAAATTGCTAAAAAATTAGCTAGTTATTTAAAAATAAATCTTAAATCTTCACGCATTACTGATGAAAATAAATTCCAACATTTTAAAAAACCACCCCATAAGAAAATTCTACAAAGAATACATGAGTAGGTACTGCAAACCCTAAGGCAGGAAACACAATGTAATGCAGGTTCTAAAGGTAAACACCAGAACTTGGATGGGCTAGATAGGTATTCTAAGTATGAAAGGAACCAGAAAAAATAAGAAATACAGGGCCTGACTGGTTTGGCTAAATGAAATTTTCAAACCTTAACATGTCAAGAAAAGTAATATAAAATTAAAAGGCAAACATATTTTGGAAAAAAGTTTCAACATCTATGAAAAAATAAGGTTTATTACTTTAAGCTGTAAAGAATCACTCAGATAATTTTTTAATTCTTTATTTAAATACAATTTAGTTAACAGATACTGCATTACTAGTTTCAGAGGCAGAATCTAGTGATTCATTATTTGCATACAACACCCAGTGATTATTACATCAAGTGCCCTCCTTAACACTCATCACCCAGTTACTCCTTCCTCCTACCGACCTCCCCTCCAACAAACTTCTGTTTCCTAGAGTTCAGCATTTCATGTAGTTTGCCTCCCTTCCGACTTTCATCTTATTTTATTTTCCTATGTTCATCTGTTTGGTAATAGATAATTTTTTAAAAATAAGATGCCAACAGAAAAATGGGCAGATGTTCTGAATATAAAATTCACAAAGAATGTACACAAATAGCTAGTACACAAACATGAAATATTTATATAAAGTTAACTTTACTTTTGTTTTACTAAAAAAATTTCTATTACTTTAGAATCCCATTTTTTAATCTATCAAACTAGCTCAAAATATGTTTTTAAAGTGATAATACTCAAGAGTAACAGAAACAGGACTATCTCTGCATTGCCAGTGAAAGCTAATCTAGGTACAATCTTTCCAAAAACCAATGCTGTGCTATGTAACACAGTGCCTGACATAAAGTGAATATTTCTCAAATAAATGACTAAATACATAAAATATTTATATGCTTTCACATTATTACAGAGTTCTGATATTACATCTGACATGTCAAGAAGTGCTTAATACATCATCTGATATTATGGTAGAAAAGGAGAAACAATTTAAAAAATTAACAATAGGAATGAATACATAAATTAGGTATGTTTAGATATGTTTAATGATGTGGGAATTTGGGTGTTATGTGTTAATTTTAAAAAGCAGATTCTAAAACTGGTATAGTA